CGTACTGTGTGCTGTACTTGCTCCATTTAAATATGATGGCTGCTTAGAAGATTGATACTAATTACAGAAAACAATTTGAAATATAATATTATAACATTTTATATGGATATCAACAAATCTGCCAAGGCCATTCAGCATAACTTTTCAGATTAATCAAAACGGTATCTCTTTTTACAAGTTTTTTGCTTTTCTCTATACATACCAAAGGCATGTTTTTATACATGAGACAAGTGACAATTCTAATGTTATCTCTTTTCGAGAGGAAGTAAGAATTGGTTTAATATGCTATAAGGGTACCAGTAGTATATTTCAGTTTTGTGCTGCCCTTGGCAACACAAAAATTATCTGCCCCCACAGACACCGACCAACATCACCCCCTTCCCCCTCCCACAGAGAGAACCTGACAATGCTGACATTGACCAACAACACCCCCCCCCTCCAGGGATAGCCTTATACTACCCCCCCCCCCGGGAGATAGAGAAAAAGACACCCATCTTCACAGCTCCGGACATCCCCAGGAACGCGAGTCAGGTTCCACATACACCATCAAGCAGCCTACAGCCTCTTGGATCCCACTTGGTTCCCATGGCAAGCATGTCCCTTCTTTCATCCCTTCTTCTGGGGGGGAGGTGCTGCCCCCCTGAAAACTGCTGCCCTAGGCAAGTGCCTTGTTTGCCTTGTGGTAAATACGCCCCTGAAGGGTACCAACAAATTGTTTTAACATTTTTAATATCTGCACATAGACCTCCTTCAACCGACTGGTAGTCAGCACGTCAATAACACAAACATTAGTTAACCAGGGCATGAAAGCGGTTATTCTTCAAGGTATACAAAGATGAGTCCAAACCGGAATGAACAACAATTAAAGTTTATGTAAAGGCAAAGATAATGGCCATAGATAAGGTCTAATAGTAGTTCCTGAGGAAGTCACGTGGTGTTAATCGTGACATAACGCGTAGATACGCCAGAAGGAGGGGCCGAAGGAGTTCGGTGACATCATATCCGGCGTGGGCGCCATCTTGGTGCACCTTTAACAGTATTCTCACACGCAGTACACCCACAGTGTGGTAAAAACGCCGACTGATAACCGATACTATGTGAGTAAGCATTTTTATACTGAAAGATTGTAATAAAGGGTTTTATACTATGTTGGATCTCTTTGCTTCACTGGGAATGTCTATGGAGTGGTACTCATCCGAATAGGATATAGCATCTGGATATTCATCTACTAGAGGAGGAAAGAGTTGTGATACCCCAACTATAAAGGACTCCACCCTTCTGGAGGATCATAAAGAGGCATATCTAGCTCAATGGTCCTGAGGGGCCTGGGCAGGAAGGTGAGGGGGCACCCCTGTTATTGTGGATTCACACAAAGCACCTGCATGAAGAGTTTTTGAGTGTGGTGTGTTTAATCACCTATAAGGACACTTACCTATTGGGGACTCACTCATTTGAGATTGTATATACCATCAGGAGAGGCCCCCTGTTATGCATGAGGTCTTGCAAGGGGTATTATATGTTTTTCCCACTTAATGCATGTTTTAATATGTTTTATGCATAGATATTTGTTAGCGCTGCACTACTATTAGACCTTATCTTCTGTTGTATTTTTTGGTGCCTAGGTTGTGGCACTAGTGTGCTGGCTGCTTAGTGTGTCTTATGATTAATAGCGCAGGAGTTATTGATTTGTATTTTTTATAATGGCCATAGAGACATTGGTTGCGGAAGATAGCACTGACCCCAAAAGAATCTGCACCACTTGCACATGTTGGAGGGCCTATAGTGACAGTTCGAGCTCTAATCTACCAATGATTTGCCTTGTTTGTTTCTTTTAATTTTTTGTGACTTTTCTCGGATTGTTCACTTCATCACTCTTTTTTCTCTATCTCGCCTCCTCCCTCCCCTCCCCTTTCCCTGTTGTATCTTAATGCAACAATGATGTAATTGGCTCACTATTGATTGTTATATGCATGGCAGAGATGGCAACCTACCTTACTCATTATATGCTGTTAGGGATGCATACCATTTTTTGATCGGCGTGTGATGGTGCTGACCAATCAAAAGCTGTCTAGCTTGTACTGAAGAGGAGCTTGTCTCTGCAAGTAGAGGAGAGAGAGCTGTGAGGATTTCAGATCCTGCGACCTTCTCTCCTCTCCTACAGCTGAAAATATGGAGCATTGCAGTGTCTTTTTCTCCTTTCCTACAGCTGAGAATCCAGAACATCTGCCTCCATCCTCCGCCTGACAGCCAACACTAGTGTATACATCCCCTCAGGCCCTTCTCTCCCACTCTCCGCTCAGAATGGAATCAGTGCAGGGAGGTTTCCCGCACCGCTCCTGTGGGAACTCAGGCTATGACTAGCTTGGGTTCACACAGGATCAGTGGGGAATCTACATGCAATTTGGACAGGAATAGCTTTCCTGTTCAAATTGCATGCTATTCTTTGTGGTGCAATTTGCATCCATACATTTTCAATTGATTGAACTGCAAAGTATTGGTTTGGGTATCAGGAAGCATTTTAATGAGTACGAATACTTGTGAAAATACTTGGTATCGGCACCGATACTGGTATTGGTGCATCCCTACATGCTGTCATATCTGTTTTTTACATGTGTTTGGTCTAGCACTCTTATCTGCTTGGAGGGCATAGAGCATGGAATGTTTCTGTTCATTGTTTTCAAATGTTACTTCATGCCTTTGTACTGAAATACTTTGAATAAAAAGATGTTTAACCCAAAGTTTGTGTACAGGAAAAATATTTTTCTAGTTCTGGATATAGCAGTGAATGTTTTCTGTTTCTTCTGCTGCTTTGTCCCAATTGGGGAAAAAAAAAAAAAAAAAAAACCCTGACAAGGGTTCTAACATTTCACACTCTATTCAAAACAAAAAAAATGGTTTGGCTATTAGAAAAATCAAAGTAACCAATTTAAACTTGCATAACACATTGATCAAGTAGAATAGCCAAGACCCTGGCAGAAAAAAAAAATGGCAACTAAACTCATATTCCAATGACCACATTTCTACAGTGTTAACCTGAAGGATGTATAGGAATAATTCCTGATGACGTATATGATAAACTAGTGTGTGTTTTACTATACTGTCATTGACAGAGACAATTGTTTATGTATCACCATGCCAGTATGTGTTTTATTATGCTGAATGGGCAGGACGTTTGTTTGGGTCGTGTTTATTCATTTCTACAGTATACTTGAAATGTCTAGGATGCTTTGCACACTTTCTCAATGTCATTCCTCTGTTGATCAAAGCATCTGTGTTCAAATTTACTGGAAGTTTGTACTGTGTTTAATTAATCTTATTATGGTGTAATGTATAATGAAGAGGATGTGGGGTGTTACATACTGTAACTTTTTTATTTGTTTCCTAGACCGGAAGCACCTCTGCTTGAACATTTATGTCTTTAACTGAAAACTTTAAAGTATAATTACTGTATTACTTTGTAAATATAATATTTTAAAATGAAAATGCTACATAAATAAAAATATATGGTTGGTGACTACTTTATACAGTTATGTTTGCTGTCCAGAACATTGGGTTCCCCTAAAACTTTCATATGTACGAATTCCATAATTGCTCTTTACAGTGTCCTCAGCCCTGATGCAAGCAGTAGGTTGACTCTTGAGAGAAATTATGCATACATATACATATCAAAATGCCATGATGGACTGATGTCAGTCTGGAGGAATATGAGCTAATAGATAGACTGCATTTGCATGCGGATCTCCCTAGCTAATGCCTGCATGTGATGCTGAGATTACATAATTCAAAGATGCAATTTCATGGCTGAAAGGGGCATGTTGGGGACAGTAAAGCTGGGGAAGGAATAGCTAGCCAGATGATGCTGGACATCCTCCATCCAGGAAATGAGACAAGTTGTATCTGACGTGCTGCAGCTTTAAATGCACACTGTTTGCATGAATATAGGTATGCATACATGCCAGCTGTTCGGAATTTGCTGCATCTTGGTCCCGATGACGTTGGGGATGTCCTGTCCCTACACATGCACAGTAATAAGAAATTTAGTGCAATGACTGGGGGACATGTATGGATATTCCCATCTTAATTAGAAGCAGGGTATAGTGGACTACTCAGGTAAGTAGTCAGGGCCACCCAGCAACTGGGCAGGCCTGGATACATAGATTGATATTTTCTAGAAATCATTTATCTGTTGACATACTTCCTAGTCAATTCATGTTTACGTTTCAAACTTCTGACATTTACTGGGGAAATAATTTAAATAATGCCCCAAGGTTCGTTATTCTACTGGTGCATACTGATTTAACATTCTCTAATTATAAAACCTTGCTTGATGAGACAATGATTGATATTACATTAATATTAATCACTACTCCTCCACTATATCATAATGTAGTTTCAAAAACCCACTAATCATACAATATATTGTCAAAAGTATGCAGACACCTGCCTTTACACACACATGAACATTAATTGCATCCCAGTCTTAGTCCGTGAGGTTCAAAATTGAGTTGGCCCACCCTTTACAGCCGTAACAGCTTCAACTCTTCTACTGTAGGAAGGCTGTCCACAAGGTTTAGGACTGTGTCTGTGGGAATATTTGACCATTCTTCCAGAAGTGAATTTGTAAGGCCAGGCACTGATGTCGGATTAGAAGGCCTGGCTCGCAGTCTCCGCTCTAATGGACTCTGTGCTGGCCAGTCAAGTTCCTCCACCCCAAACTCACTCATCCATGTCTTTATGGATCTTGCTTTGTGCACTGGTGCGCAGTCATGTTGGAACAGGAAGGGGCCATCCCCAAACTGTTCCCACAAAGTTGGGAGCATGAAATTGTCCAGAATGTCTTGGTATGCTGACACCGTAAGAGTTCCCTTCACTGGAACTAAAGGGGCTAACCCAACCCCTGAAAAAACAACCCCACACCAACTGCCAAACCCAGACACATCCATTGGATTGCCAGACAGAGAAGCATGATTGGTCAGACCAGAGAACACATTTCCACTGCTCTAGAGTCCAGTGGCGATGTGCTTTACACCATTGCATCTAACACTTTGCATTGCACTTGGTGATGTAAGGCTTGGACACAGCTGCTCGGCGATAGAAACCCATTCCATGAAGCTCTCTATGCACTGTTGTTGAGCTAACCTGAAGGTCACACCAAGTTTGGAGGTCTTTAGCTACTGACTCTGCAGACAGTTGGTAACTTCTGCGCATTGTGCGCTTCAGTACGCGCTGACCCCGCTCTGTCATTTTACGTGGCCAACTATTTCATGGCTGACTTGCTGTTGTTCCCAGTTGCTTCCACTTTGTTATAATACCACTAACAGTTGACAGTGGAATATTTAGTAGCAAGGAAATTTCATGACTGGGCCTATTGCAGAGGTGACAACCTATCACAGTACCATGCTTGAATTCTCTGAGCTCCTGAGAGCGACCCCTTCTTCCACAAATGTTTGTAGAAGCAGTCAGCATGCCTAGGTGCTTGATTTTATACACTTGTGGCCATGGAGGTGATTGGAACACCTGAATCCAATGATTTGGAGGGGTGTCCCAATACTTTCGGCAATATAGTGTATACTGGGGTATCTACACTAGAAACAAAGACTACAATATTTTACAATTTTTTTAGTCTTTAAATTCATGGAATGTGATTAGTTTGAAATACACCTCACGTCAATAGCGAGATATACATATAAAATATATTTTGGTGAACTGTTTAACTACCAAAGGATAACCTTGTCTGGTTGCTGACAATTTTATTTACTGCTGCAGCTTCCTGTGTTATCTGCCTGTTACACGGGTTATGTAGATACAATACAGTGTTGGTGTCTTGCCTTTGCTCTCCTCCTTCTACAGTATAAGCTGCCTTTTCATCCAGCTCATATGGCCTGAGCTGGATGGAAAATGACTGTAGCTACAGACTTTTAATAAAACACATACTTACCAGTACAGGAAGTGCAGTTCTATCTTCCAAGAACCCAAATATTTCACAGTTCTTTAGGATACCCGCTATCATTTTGGACTCAGGAACTGGCTGAGACTTCCTAATGACCCACACTACTACTACCTATTGCGCATACAGGAGACACGGACTGCAGGAAAATTGTTGCTGTAGCCTCCCGGGATGTATGACAGGTATAGGGGTTGGGCAGCCAGAGGGGATCTCATCCCCACCTGGGTAAGGAATAGAAAAATGGAGGCATGTACCTGCTGGAAAAAATACTTGCTGCCCAAAGAAGAAAAAACATTTGCCAGACACAAACCCTATCTCAACATATTTTGTGATACAAAATGAAATATTTTCATATTGAATGCAATTGTAATAATATAGATCAGCAAGACTTAAAGTGTTAGTAAAGTCGAAAAAAAAACCAAAAACTTCCTTCTGGAAGGGAGCATAATGTGCTAGTATGCATCTTATGCTAGCAGTTTATGAAAGACTTACCTCAAAAGAAGCCCTCCAGTAGTATGCTGTCAGGGCTTCCATTTTCACCTGGTCTTCCTTCCAGATTCTCAGGCTCTGGCCATTTGAATGGCCGAGCCATAATGACATCACCCCTGTGCATGGACATGGGAGCCACGATTGCAGCACAGCCCTCTGAAGGGATGGCGTACTCCGTATGCTGTCCCTTCAGAGCACGGTGCGCATGTGACAGTGACATCACCAGCTGCAGAAATAGTGAATATTTCCTAAACAGTGCATGTTTAACATAGTTAAAGTGGAACTGCACTGCATGTGAGCACCACAAACCAAAAATACTATTTAATTCATTTTTAATATTCAAAGCAAACACACCCATCCATCCATGTCTCCATGCTTTATTTTGCTGAGAAATCATTTTGAAAACCACCTCCTGGCATTTCTGGCCCTGGCCCTGTTGAGTAAGGAGAGATGATTCATGTATCATTAACTTCCTGGAATCCATCTGCCCTTAGATCAGGCGTAGGCAGAGCTGATGACCCTCCCTACCCTCCTGAAGACTACTGGGATGTATGACATCATTTGCCTAGGCCTGGAAACCAGGAATCAATTGAATAAATGAAAAAACAAGTCATTATGATATACTTTCCTATCTGTTTACTAATGCTTGCAGCATAAGGATTAAACATAGTCCATGTTGATTAAGAGAGAGAAGCTCCACTTTAATTATACTTAAAGCAGAGTTCCAGTGAAACTGTAAAAAAATAAAAGTCAGCAGCTACAAAAACTGTAGCTGCGTACTTTTAAAAAACAGACACTTACCTGTCCCACAGCCCCGTAGTGTACTCCGCGCAGCCCATTTCACCGGCCATCCTGTGTTCCCAACTCTGGTATCTTCAGTGTAGGCAGCTTCACAGCCCGGTGCCCACTGCACATGCGTGAGTAGTACTGCGCTTTCTGAATGGTCCTGTAGTCTTCTGGGACCTGGCACGTGTCCCAGAAGACTATGGGGGAGGGGAGGAAGACAACTTTCGACAACGATCGCAGGGGAAGAGGGAGAGGGTACCTGTCAATTTCTGGGAACCCGCTCCCCGAAGGTGCCAATCCTTAACGGGGAGCGGGGGAACCAGTCCTTAAAGCAGAACTTCCCCTTTTGGGTAGAGCTCTGCTTTAATATGCTGTGCCTTGCTGTCTTGGTAAATTGAATGCAATTGAAAAAGAAGCGATACCCTACCTAGCTCATGCTGAATACAAAAATGTAAACATACCCACATGTATAACCTAGTCATAGAACATATCAATAAGTCAAAATTGTGTCCAATTGTCGATACTGTCGATGTGGCCTACCAAGAAAAGACGTATCAATTTCAAATAAGAAATGACTTAGAACTCAATCTGGGTTTATGTTCTCATCACAATGTTGTGAAAGCAACACATAACCGTGCTAATATTTATTTTATGTTATATATTAAAGCCAAAAAGATTGTTTTATTAAAACTTTATGGTTTCTCTCTGCTATTCAAGATAATTTTTCTTTACTTGCAAAACAAACGTTTCACTTTGCCTCCCACACAAGTTGTTTTGTGTAGATAGTTAAGTATGGCATCTTGAGGCTTAGGGAATACAAAGACGACAATAAGCAGAGCACTGACAAATAGTAAATGCCATAGCTGGAAGGAATGATTGCAATTAAAACATGCCGATTCTTGTCAATTGTTGATCTTGAGAACCACTGCAATGCAAGAGACCAGCCATTATTTATGACCAACTCCCACAAAGTCACCCAATCACCGTGTGTTCAGAGATTAGAAAAAAAAAAGTCCTAAATTGTAAATAAAAGCTAATATGAAGAAGGGAACTCTGCTGATCAGATCACAAACTTGATTTGGTCACCTCTTGAACTTAATTTAAATGCAGGATATTACTATGCTTATAAGCACAATTTCTCACAGTATGAAGAGGCATGAGATGCCCCCTCCACTCCAATGCTACCATTGCCACGTTGTCATCCTCTTCTTGTGGGTCTGTGTGTTCTTGTGACACCCATTAGGTAACCAGTCATGAAATGCATACACTGTCATTGTAAAAATCCTTCTGAAAATGATAGTTGACAGACTTTTACTGACTCATTGGCTTCAATTCATCCTTGATCACTGATCCAGGAGAAGTAAGCAGTCAGAAATCCACATGTGCAAACCTGTTCTGGGCCTGGGACTCAGAGCATGGAAGCCAGTAGGTCACTTTGACAGCCAGGGAACTAGCATTTTCAGAAAAGAAAGGTTAGCAGTGGCAGACTTCATGTTTCATTCATGACAAGATTACTATAAAAAGCAACTAACATGGAACAAAACTCTACATCTCCCTACACAGACAATGAAAATGGATTGTTATAATGTTGCGTGTCTATACATACAAACATTTTGCACAATACACAGAAAACATTGGGAATGATTTGTACCATATACTGTTATATATATATATATATATATATATATATATACAGTTAGGTCCATAAATATTTGGACACTGGTACAACTTTAATTTTAGTCAGGTATTGACCAAAACATATTCAAGTTCTAGTTATATAATGGATATGGGCTGAAAGTGCACACTCTCAGGTTTAATTTGAGGATATGTACATCCAAATTGGAGGAAGGGTTTAGGAATTAGAACTTTTAAGAGTAGCCACCCCCCCTTTTTCAAGGGACAAAAAGTAATTGGACAATTGCATCAAAAACTGTTTCATGGCCAGGTGTGGGCTACTCCTTCTTTATTTCTTCAACAATTAAGCAGGTAAAAGGTCTGGAGTTGATTGTAAGTGTGGCATTTGCATTTGGAATCTATTACTGTGAACCTACATCATGCATTCAAAGGAGCTGTCCGTGCAAGTGCAAAAGGCCAGGTCAAAAACAAAACAAATCCATCAGAGAGATAGCAGCAACATTAGGAGTGGCGAAATCAACAGTTTGGTACATTCTGAGGAAAGAAGAATGCACTGGTGAACTCATCAATATAAAAATCCATGGACATCCACAGAACGACAACAGTGGTGGATGATCACAGGAGCCTCTCTATGGTAAAGAAAAACCCATTCACAACATCCAGACAAGTGAAGGACACTCTCCAGGGGGTGGGTGTATCATTGTCAAAGTCTGCAATCAAGAGAAGACTTCACGAGAGCAAATACAGAGGGTTCACCACAAGGTGCAAACCATTCATAAGCCTGAAGAATAGAAAAGCCAGATTAGACTTTGCCAAAAAACATCTAAAAAAGCCAGACCAGTTCTGGAAAAGCATTCTTTGGACGGATAAAACTAACATTAATCTGTACCAATTGATGGTAAGAAAAAAGTGTGGAGAAGGCTTGGAACAGCTCATGATCCAAAGCACACAACGTCATCTGTAAAACATGGTGGAGGCAGTGTGATGGCATGGGCATGCATGGCTTCCAGTGCACTTTTTCATTGGTGTTTATTGATGATGTGATAGATAGTACAGCCGGATGAATTCTGTAGTGTTTAGACATATACTGTCAGCCCAGATTCAGCCAAACGCAGCAAAGTTGATTGGATGGCACTTCACAGTACAGATGGACAATGAACCAATACACACTGCAAAAGCAACCCAGGAGCTTTTGAAGGAAAAGAAGTGGAATATCCTGCAATGGCCAACTCAATCGCCTGATCTCAACTCAATTGAGCATGCATTTCACTTGCTGAAGGCAAAACTAAAGGCAGAAAGATCCACAAACAAAGAACAACTGAAGACAGCTGCAGTTAGAGCCTGGCAAAGCATCAGAAAGGAGGAAACACAGTCTTTGGTAATGTCCATGGGTTCCAGACTTCAGGCAGTCATTTCCAGTAAAGGATTTTCAACAAAATATTAAAAATGAATATTTTATTTATGATTATATTCATTTGTCCAATTACATTTGAGCCCCTGAAAATGAGGGACT